GACCATGTGCACTTTGGAGAACAGGAGAAAAAGTAAGAAAAAAAAAAGGAGGGAGAGGTAAGAAAACCCTAATGCTCTGGAAAGGGGAAAAAGAGGCTTCCAGGTACTGCTCTTTAGGGACCACTCACCCCCAGGCCTTTGTCTTTTCTAAAATCCACTACTTTGTGAAGAGGCTTCAGGGGAAAGTACTGGATCTTTTAAATTTTTACTTGAAAAACATCAAAGCCTTTAGGAGACAATAAAATACCTTTATCCTATGCCTCCTGAAGCCTGGATTTTAAGGTCAGCAGTCACCTGCCCTCAGAGCAAAAGCAAGGTCCCCTTAGGCAATCTGAAATGCCAGCCAAGGAGATTTCCGTTTTCTTCTGCTGCAGGGTTAACGAGGACGGCTTTTTAAAAGGAAACTCTGCATCTCTGGGTTCTGTCTTTGGATTACTCAATGGCACAGTAGGCTGAAACCAACTTTGAGCTGAAAATATGATTTTTGCCTAAAGAAGCAGATGCAGTTGGCTCTGAGAATGTCATTTCTGGGATGGAGATAGGGTCAGAAAACTGTAGGGGTCTGTCTTTCTCTCCAACCTCGCCCCACACACCTTTCATGCACATGTGGACACACACACACACACACACACACACACACACACAGAGAGAGAGAGAGAGTTTCAGTTAACCTGCGTGCAGAGGGAACCATCTCTATGTGGTAGGTTGAGGATCTAAATCAGAGTTCTTCCACAGGCTGGTTAATGTCCATATGTCCATCCCCGATAAAGCTGCTACCTGTTAAAGGTGATCAGTTGGGGGCTGAGACCTGAGACCTGGCTTTCTGGAGAACAAGGAAAGGTGATATTTGCTGCCCTCTCACCTTCACATTTCCCTCAGCTTGACTAGACACAGATCTCTTCCTAACTATAGGCTCTTGACCTCCTTTTTCTCAGAGCATTTACTTTAGTGGACTTTTAATTATAAATCCTCTCTCTGACCTATTGCAATCTAACTCTTTTCCCCACTTCTTGTTGGTTTTGGTTTTACAACCCCCTAACATCCTTCTCAATGATGTCAAGACAAGCATTGGAAGGCACTTATCATGACAGATCCTGTCTCCCAGGGTCTGTGGAGGGCAGGAGCCTAATTGCAACAAGCTCTGGTTGGCAATTGCAGGTGACCTCCTCACATTGACCAACCTCCCACCCCAATGTTCTCTGGTGCTTTTCCACTAGCTCACCTTAGTGCTTAACAACTCCTACCCTTTTGTCTCAGTAGAGTTTATTCAGTCTGTCTTTCAGTCCTCTTGAATAAAGTCTTCCTTGCCTGTTTAACCATGTCTGATGCAATCTTTCTTTGACACTTCCCTTTCTCTCATGCCCACAGAAGGTTCTCCTCACATAGTTTCCAACACTAGTTTTGGCACAAGAAGGGAAATTCAAGTCAGAAAAATATGAGTCCTGTCTCTGTTAACTTGTTAGTTTTTGCCCATGAACAAATCATCCAACCTTGCTGGGCTTCAGGCTGCTAATGAGATGAAATCTGTGAAGTTCTTTATGGAGATAACTCTACAGAAATGCAACCTTATTGTTGCTCATGTTATAGCTGGGCAGTCCTCTGTTTGGAAATGGGAACCATCACTTATATTTATTCCTCCATCCTCCATTTGTTCTTCAGGAGTCCTATTCTAAATTGAAACAGCCAGGGCTATTATGGTTTAGATATGGGGTGTTCCCCAAAAGCTCCTGTGAAAGATAAGGCAAGAATGTTCAAAGGTGAAACAATTAGATTCTGAAAGCTTTGACCTAATCAGTGGATTAACAAGTGTCCATTAACTGGGTAGTAACTGTAGGCAGGTAGGGTATGGCTGGAGGAAGTTGATCACTAGAGTGTCTTTGGGTTTTATATTTTACCCTGGGGAGCAGAACTAGTTCTCTCTCTCTCTCTCTCTCTCTCTCTCTCTCTCTCTCTCTCTCTCTCTCTCTCTCTCTCTCCTTCCTGACTACCATGTCCTGAGCTGCTTTCCTCTTTCATGCCTTTCCTCCATGATTCTCTGCCTCATATTGGGTACAGAGCAATAGAGTTGGCCAACCAAGACACTGTTCTTGTCAGGTCTTTTGATCACACAGACAAAAAGCTGACTAAAACAAGTGCTTTCTCTGCTAACTCCTTCAAATCACTTAACATCTAAGAAGACATTAGAAGGCAAATAGATGGCTTGAAGGAAAATTTGAACTTGTGTTGGGAGGATAAGGAAGAAGAAAACCAAAGAAAAACTTCTCCACAAATTTCCAAACACTTTTGAGGTAGAGTATCTTAGTGAAGTTTTAATGTTTCTAATTTTGTCATTGATTAGGGACTATTATTTAATGAATACTATTGCTTTAAGTTTCTAAGGCACTATGTGGTATCAGGGTATAGAAACTCAAAGCAGTCACCTAAAGGAGGTCTGGGTTTTCACTCATATGCTGGTATTTTAAAGATTGGCAGTTGAGGGCTAGCATGGGGTCATTCAGAATGTCATCAAAGGTAGAATTCTTCTCTCTGCTCAGCCATCTTTGGCCTAGTTACCTTGAAATGACTGCTAGAGCTCCAGCAAGCCATCTTTATTTAAGACAGGAAGATGGAAGCACGTAAACAAAGGGCACATTACCCTTTTAAAAGTCCTGGTAGTATGACCCATTGAAACGCATTCATATCCATTTATATCCTGACAACCAGAGCTTGTCAAGAATCTATGACTATTTTATTAATTTGGACATATTAATATCATAAGTAAAATCAGAGAAGAAAATAATACTAGGTAGGCAACAACTGTTACTAATGCCAACCTGGACTCTCCAAGTTAAATGGAGGTATCTGAAAAACAGTCGTAAGTCAGCCTAGGTCATTATTCCTAATAGTTTTATCACATATAGTGTTTTAAATCAACCCAACTTTATCCTACCTCACTATTGCCCAGTCCAGGTTTTCATGAGATTTTATGTGATCTTCTTCGCTGGTCCTTTCAACTCCAGCATCACCTTTCTCAGCTCTGCTTTCCTTATGACTGCCCAAGTGAACTATCTGAAAAAGTCAAGTCTACCTGCCTCATCCCCAAGATAGACTAAATTATCACTCATGATCCTTCACAACCTCCCTCTATTGTACCACCACTCTCCACCTGACTTTGTGGCACCTCCCACTCAAGGAGGAGAGTTGACCTTGCTTCCTCCCATGGTATGGTGCTAGGCCATGTGACCTGCTTTAGCAATGGAATGTGGCTGCCTATGGTTATTAGGATATTAAGTGATGCTGGAGTCATACATAACTTCCTGGCCAGATTTGGTCTTTAGGATATGAATAGATATGAATGAGATTCACTGGGTCATATTACCAGGACTTCTAAAAGAGGAATGTGCCCTTTTTTCATGTGTTTCTACCTTCTTCCTGTATCAAATGAAGATGGGTGGCTGGAGCTCCAGCAGTCATTTTATGATGGTATGACTATTCTCTGAAGTCTCAAGAGGCATTTGTCTGTCCACTCACCCACCTGTACTTTCACACTTCAATGAGAGAAGAGCTAATGTTGGGTAGTTGCTCTTCCTTTGGTCTGGGACCCAGACTCAGCCACATCTTCTGCTAACCTGAGAACTGCAGCCTGGATCAGAGCCATGCCTACAGACTCACAGGTCTGTGTGCAAGAATATATGATTACTGTTTATTACTACTTGTTGGGGAGGTTCATTTTGTGGCATTATTAATGTGGTAGTTAGCAGATACAACCCCTGCCTAAGGGTTGTCATCTTCTGCTGTCATCTCAGCACCTCTCCTTAGAGTGAAGCCACATTTCTTAGCAGAGCACATGAGATGGGCATGTGCCTTTTCCTGCTTCTCTAGCTCCACCTCCCACCTCATGCCTTGTCTCATCTTTCATATTTTTCCAGTTTTCATATTCTCCACTGATGGGATTCTCTCATGTATGGAAAGCCTTCCCTGCCTTTTTCTTGAACAACTCCCATTGGACTTCTCCACTGTCAGTACCTCATTCAGATCCCTAGCACTGGCCCATCCTTATCTCCACTCCCACAATCTCCAGCCCACACCTCTAGCCGAGAACCTAAACAATTAAATTGCATATGGTCTCCAACTTAACAATAATTGGATTTGCAAGTTTTCAAGTTTGTGACAAAGCAAAAGCAATAGAAATTTAGTGGAAATCATACTTTGATTTTTTTTTTTTTTGTACCAGGGATTGAACCCAAAGGGATTTAACCACCAAGCCACATCCTCAGCTCTTTTTTTATCTTACATTAGAGACAGGGTCTCACTGAGTTGCTTAGGGCCTCACTAAATTGCTGAGGCTAGGTTTGAACTCACAATCCTCCTGCCTCAACCTCCCAAGTCGCTGGGATTACAAGCATGTGCCACCACGCCTGGCTGTACTTTGAATTTTGATCTTTTCCTGAGCTAGTGATATGCAGTGGGACACTATGAGAGCCAAAGCATCCAGTCAGCACAGTTACAGAGAGAATCCACTGAAGCACTGCAGGGAACTATGTGGCTAATTTCTGATATTCAGCACTTTAATTGTATCAAATGTATTTTTTTTTACTTACTTCTTTTTAACTTACGGTGGGTTTGTTGAGGTGTAACCTCATCATAAGTTGAGAAGCACCCATATAGAAAATTATATGCTGAGGCTCAGACTAATCCTGTCCAACAAAAGAGTTTCATTCCAGCTCTGACTTAATAGTCTCTCTCTCTCTGTTTTCTCTACACCATACAGATTTTTGTCAAGCCCTACAGAACTCCGTGGTGCAACTGGGGACACTTTTGAGGACACCACTTTTATTGCAACCCCTGATGGCCCACTTTTCATCATTGAATAGGACTTAAGAGTATAATTTTTTGACTAACCTAGCGTCTATCTTATCTTACTTTCATATTTCCCCTCCCCATTTCTTCTTTTTTTTTAATTTGTCCTCTATGTATCTTCATATGCTCTCTCTGATTTGATTTGACTTGAATTTGATATATTCATTGATTTATTTATTTTTATTTCATAAAGGAATGAAGGAAAAGGCAAAGGAGAAGGGAGTTCTTCTCTTCTTCAAAGAAACATGATGCTTTTTGTCTCTCTCACTTTGATGTCTGCTATGTTTTGGATGTAAGTGCCCCTCTCCAAAATTCATATTTTGGAACTTTCATCCCAAAATGTCAGTAGTAAAAGATGAGGCTTTGGAAAGTCACTGGGCTGTGAGGGCTCCACCCTCCTGGATGGGTTAGCTCTTATAAAAGGGCTGCAGGGAACAGGTTCATCCCTTCCTTCTCTTCTGCCATGTGTTGGACCTTCTTTGCTCCTCTCACCCCTCCACCAAGTGAGAATGCAGCAAAAGTGCCATTTATGAAGCAGAGACCGAGCCTTCACCAAACATCAAATTCTAGCCTTTTATATATATATATATAAAACTTTTGGAGGGCAAGGATCTGTCTTAGTCAATAGTGAACCCTCTGCTACATCTGGCATGTAAAGTGCTTGTTGTAGAAGCTCAGTTAATGTTGTTCAAATATATCTGAAGCCCCATACCTGGGGTGCTATATTCTGATGTGCATGCAGGAAAAGTACAAAAGGAAGTGGCTTCCTGAAGAGGTCTTCATATGGGAAAGCCACCCTAACCCTAACCCTAATCCTGATCACCTGAAATATTTTGGAGAAGCCATATCCCCAGGATAGAGGAAAGGAAAAAAAGTGCTAAAAGCGTAGACTGCCTAACAAAACTAACCCGCAAGGTGAACTCTCAGCAGAACTGGCCAATTCCCGTGTCTCTCTGTGCAAACCTGCCCCATAGGATCTGGAAGATTCCAGTCCCTTTGTTAAGATTCCTGAAATAGACATGATAAAGAGCTTTCTACATGAAAACACCTCTTCACAATTTTTTCAATAGATTGATTTTCTAACACAGAAATCAGTTTCCCTGAGAGTATGCAAGTTTGATTAGGAAGTTCGCTCTTAGGCAGGTCAGGAAGTCTGCTCTGGACTACTCCTCAAGACCCTGGACCCTGACAGCATTGGTGTCACCTGGGAATCTCTTCAAGTGCCCCAATATAATCAAAAGTTATAAATGGGGGGGAGGGGGAACAGGACAAATTCAGGATCACTGTGATTCAGGAAAGAAACTTCCAGGGTGCCACAGCCACACTGTGACTGACTGTACAAGACCTCTCATTGCTGAGGCACATGATATTGAATCATCTATGTGGCAAATGTTCCATTTCACAGAAAAGGGATCCAAAGCTCAGGCCAGACTCCTGCAGTTAATCGACATGTGTAGAGTGGCTTCCAAAAGATCACCTTCACCAGAGGAAGCAGGAATGGTTTGAGATCTAGGAGGGTGGCTGTTGCGCCCCTGACTTTCCACAGCAGTCTCCAAGGAGCAGCATATGAGATCTTTAATGGGATGTTCAATGGAATCCAGGATTTGGGCATTAGCAGCACAGCAAGTAAAAAATGAAAACAATCTCTGAAGGGAGCAGAAAGGGAATCCTAATGCTTTAGCCATAAGGGAAAGGAGTCCAAATTGCAAACTAATTTGCCAGGAAGGAAATCATAACTTGTCTCCTATTTCTCTGGTAGCATCTGCAGAAGTTCCTAGATCAATCACACTCTTTACCACTCAGGGATATTGGCATATGTTGCTTCCCACGTAAGAACACTATGCTGCTTGCTGGCCGAATCATCCACCATCAAGCCTCAGGTTGCTAGCACTGCTGAGAGTCACCATGGCTGACCAGAGCCTCCTTTGTCTTTGAGTTCATCATTTTTTTTCCCTTTATAACATATATCATTGGCAGTTATTCTTCATCTTGCTGTTACAGTTTCCACTTTAAGGTAAGTTCTTCTATGAAGGGGAGGAGCTTTCTGTGTTGTGCTTGACCTTGGAGGTCTTTAGTAACCTGTACCAAATAAATGAATGACATGTGTTTAACATCTGCTGATCCGCACAGCAAGCCCCTAACCAAGCTGTGCTTTATAACAATTCAAATTCTCTCCAGGAACATTGATTCTATCAGTCAGAAATAAACCCTTGTAAATGTGTATTTGAAGGCTGCTTCTGATGCAGTCAGTAGAACAGTATGTGGGATCCTTGTGCCTGCCTCCCTCTCATGATTTCTACTTGTTCTTTTGCAGTGAGAGTCATGGCAACAGCCTCTTTTACACACTCCACTCGTTTCTGGGTCTTGGGATGTCTAATAGTATCCTAAGAATCCTATTTGCATTTTACCATTTACCTACCCATCAGAGGCCATGAATAAGACTGGAGAGGTAATGTTACCTCCTCAACACAATCAGTTGACACTTCCAAGCAAAAAGGAGAGACCAAAGCCACCAAAATCTTTGGAAGGATATTCAGGACAGTTAAGGGATTCTGCATTCTAGAAAACTTAATCTAAGTTTGTTAGCAATGAAAAGCAATGCACATATCGGGGCTTAAAAAAGAAATATAATTCTCTGAGAAGCTAGACCCCCCAGACTGGCCAAATGATCTCTAAGCAGGCTTGATTGAGGAGAAACCAGCCTTAAATGCTCTTTTGGCAATAATAGATAAGGAGTGAAACTAGAAATGACAGAAAGAGGGAGGGAATAAGAGGTCCCAGCCACGCAGAAATGGTGTCAAAAGAAAGAACAGGAAAAGAATAGAGTTCCTGAGAGGTGAATTTCACTCTGGGCCTTTACTAGTTATCCTACGATCAGTGAACCAGCAACATCTGCATCCCAAAAAAAACCTGTTAGAAATCCAAATTCTCCATCCCTACCCCAGAACTACTAAATCTACTTTTGGACAATATCTGCAGGTGACTTAAAAGGACATGGTTTACAAGTTTGAGAAGCACTATCATAAACTAATGGCAAGTAGAGGCTTAATGAACTAGAAGAAATTGCTTAGAATTTAGGGAATTCTTTGACTTAAAGGAAATCCCGCTGTGGACTTAGTCCAACCTCCATCATATTGAAGAGTAGTGAAAATAAGTAGGAAAATAAGACTCACCCCACTTTTGCTACTGGTTGTCTCATCTCTCCAAGGAGGGTGTCAACTCATTGGGGCCAAAAATGTTCATTTACCTTCTTCCTGTTCCTCACAGGGTACAATCTTGGGACCTGTAATTGGATTTCTGCTAACCAGTGACCAGCCAAATGAAGATCATTCTGGAAAGCTGACTGAGATCAGCTTCTACCATTTCCTCTTACGCATTCCTTGCTTTTAACTTTAGCCAGTGCTCCCAGGATGATATGTGAAGATCACAAGTATTAAGAAAAGGGTTCAGGAATCCATTTCTAATGTTCATAAATATAATGTGCCATTGCTCCAAGGTGGTATTTCCAGAGCTGGAAGTGTAGCTGACTATATTGTTCTAATCTGCACTAAATGCCCCAGAGGGAAGGTTACATAAAAGTGCAAGAACTCATGAAACCAATTTGGGTAGAAGTCAAAAACCAAAGCAAAACATTGGTTCTCTGGCTCATTGATTTCCATCTTCTCCCTAGGGTACAAAGAATTCTCAACTGTATCATAAAGATACTGCTTCTCTTTTGGTGGATGAACACCAATAATAATTCTTATTTTAGGAGCAATATGTCAGGTATTGCAAACATGACCTCTCAGTTAGCCTCTATTGCAAGGATCTTTGTGATATCACACTGCCCTGAGCAAATGCCGGTTTGAGTTCTTTTTTCAGAAAACTGCTGAACAAAGAGATATATGCGTCTGTATCCATAGATATATGTGTATATCATCTTTACAGCAAATAGAATAGAAGAAGCCTTGGACAGCAAGAATAGAAAATGAGTTTAAAATATATAATTATATGCCCATTTTCTTGGGGAAAAAATTGAATCTACACCAGCCTGATTTCTAGTGTTTGTTCTTTAAGAAAAATATCCCCCTAAACACACCATTCTATTTTTCCTAAGAAATGAACTGTTTAGAAAGAGCACTATAATGATCTAAAAATTCTTCTGGGCCCCATTGGCGTAGGTGGAAAGCTCCCAGGAGTCTGGACTGCAGCTCAACCAGGGAAGAGAGTTGACCTCTAACCACCAGGCCATGGTCACCCTGTAGCCTCTACAGCTATTTCCACACCTTTAAAATGATAGTAAGTATCAGGTTTATTTCTGTCATAACAGTCAAAGGAACATGTTTTGAAAAGTATAAATTGTGACACCGAAGTACAAAAGTTAGAGTATCTCTATTTTGTTATATCTTTCTCCTAACAGAAAAGGTATTATAAAGATTCACCACTCATCTAGCAGAGGAACTACAGCTTTCAATTGCTTCTGTCCCTCTAGAATTGCACGAATGACCCATATTACATAACTTGTGAAGAAAACAGGAATTTCAAATCAGCCAATCTCTAAGTCACATGGTAATGAAGGGGGCCATAAGTTCTCAAGGTATATTCCTACCTCTCCAGTTCTCAAGATATATTCCCACCTCTCCAGTCACTGCCAGACCCTTGAATAATCCAGAGGGAAACTATGTATGAATTAGCAAAAAAAAAAAAAAAGTCATCCTTCCTGGGGTGGGGTTTCAAATACTATATTAGTCTGGGTTCTCCTGAACAAAGGCAGTAAGACAGATGGACAGATAGATGGATGCATGAACAAATGCGCACACACACACACATATATTTGTTAGAAGGAGTTGACTCATGCAGTCACAGAAGCTAAGACCCAAGAACTGTAGCTGGTAAGCTGGAGACCCAGGAGAGCGAATGGTACAGCTCTAGTCAGAATATGAAGGCCTAATAACCAAGAGAGTCAAAGGTGACAGTTGCAGTCCAAGTCCAAGTATGAAAGCAGAGGACCAATGTCCTAGTCAGAAGACACTGAATTCTCCCTCAGTCCACCTTGGTGTTTTTGTCAGGCCCTCAATGGATTGGATGAAACCCACTCACTATAGGGAGAACAATCTGCTCTACTTAGTCAATCATTCAAATGCCAATCTCATCCAGAACACTCTCACAGAAATACCCTGGATAATGTTTGGACGTGCGATGGCCCATGCAAATTAACACACAAAATTAATCATCACACATGTGTGTATGGTGAAACCACAAGCTGCACTCCAGCCCCTGTCTGTCCCAAAGCGAGGCACCCTGGTGGAGACTTCAATCTACACAATCATACAGAGATCCTGCCTGCTACTTACATTTGATCTTCTCTAAGAAATGGCCCCTATTCTTTAGAATGGGCACCCTTAGAGTTCTGCCTTTGTGGCCCACTCCACCCATTATACTCTCCCTGAATCCTATCAAAGCTTCTGGACTGATAATGTCTTTGGCTCCATATAATGCCTCAACACAGTGTATTGCACTTCACAAGTTGATAGAATGCAGCTACCTGTAAATTTACAAGCTGATAGAATGCAGTTACCTTTAAATATTATACCTGAAGATTCCCCAGAAAAGCATCTGAGTTAAGTGACATACGTAGGTATGGAACCCTTCCTTTTAGTGGAAAAAGCACAGATCTCCTTGGACTGCTAGGCCTGTGCAAAACAGTCAATGCACACTGAGTATTAAAAAAGAGGACAGAGAAAAGGAAAAAAATAAAAACAACAGGAAGAACACAAGAAAAAGGAAAAGAAGAAGAAGGAGTAGTCATCATCCACAAGACAAGAAATGATGTAAACATTAGGGAAAATAAACAGAAATAACAAATGACTAAGCATTCAATGAGTACTGAGTCCCAGAAATGACACTTGTGCAGAACTGTAACATAAGGAATGAATCACTGTTTACCACCCATGGACAGGGTGCTGTCAAGTTCAACATGTGTGCAGCAATTAGGAGCGGAACATGCAGAGCCTGCAGAACAGTGATGTAGAGCTGGCATCTGAAAACAAACAAACCTTATTCTTATCATTTCTCCAAAAAGGGAGGGGGTACCCCCAATTCCAATTTACAACATACAAATGTTTCACAAAGAAAAGGTTTGAAGTAAATGGAAGTTCCAAGTGGTAAGAAAAAAATGGTTCAGATATTGTGGGCTAAGAAATGTAAACAATGCAACTAGGGAAAGCTAGAGAACAGAGTTCTAACTATGGTAACAGGTTTAGAAACCAAACATGACTCTATAGGAGAAGTGGAAATTTTTATACTTAAAGAGTAAGCATGAATATGGGGGGCGTGTGATCAAAGTATGTTATATGCATGTATGAATATGACACAATAAAACCCTTTGTTCTGCATATTAATTTGAACTTTTTATTAAAAATTTTAATTTAAAAAATATACACGTAGGGCTAGAGTTGTGGCTCAGTGGTAGAGCATCTGAGGCACTGGGTTCAATTCTCAGCACTGCGTATAAATAAATGAATAAAATAAAACTAATGAATTAAAATAAAACTAAATGAAAAAAATAAAACTAAAAAATATATTTTAAAAAATATACATATTTTTTTCAATGCTTATCTCTAACATCTGAAAACCTGGAAATGAATCCAAGATGCAAGAAGGCAGAGGAGTTTTGAGGTTGATGATTGTAGGTCATTTTTCACACAAAGAGTGGGAAATTCTGGCCTTTTGATTACCTATGGGATAGGACAGCTTTTGTGTATATTTGCTGATAAATCATCAGCTAATTTTAAAAGAAACGCAGCTTCAACACAGTGATTGGGAAATTCAGTTCTAGGCCAGTCTGTCTAACAGAAATCATGGACTAGACTCCCAAATGTCATTCATATTTGATTCTCCCCTTGAAGAAACTGGACCTCAGTCTCCAAATAAGTTGTTTCATTAATCTGGTCATTATTACCAGTCCACGTGAGGTTGCCAGCATAACCTAGTCTGATGCCCTTCACAACACATACGTATCCAATGGGCATCTCCAATCTAAACTCTCCAAACCCAAGCTCCAAACTTGTTCTCCCTATGCTATTCCGCATCTCAGGAAACAGCAACTCCATTTTCCAGTTGCACAGACCATACATCATGGAGTCATTCTCTACCTCTTGTCTCATATCCCTCATCTAGTCCCCTGTAATTCTAGTGGTTCTACCTTCAAAATATGTCCATAATCTTACAGCTTCACACCATGGCTACTATCATCACTAATCCAAACCACCGCCATCTTTTACCTGGGTTGTAGTTGGAGCCTCCTAACTGCACATCCTGCTATTTCCCTTTGCCATCTTCAGTCTGTTCTCATATACATTAAACATTGGTTAGATCATGTCACTCCTATATGCAGAATGCTCCAATGCCTCCCACCTCAAAGTGAAAGCCAAAGTCCTTACAGTGATCTAAAAGGCCTTGTATAATCTTTGTCCCATACCAGTTACTTTCCTGACCTTATTACTTTCCCTCTTGTTCACTCTGCTTCAGACACACTGATTTTTCTCTTTTTCCTTTAACCCAGTAAATTCAGTTCTGACTCAGGGCCTTTGTATTTGTTGCTCCCTCTTCTCAGGACACTGTTCCAGATGTCGTACCCCTTCATTTCCTTTAGATTTTAAGATCTCAACTAAAATATCTCCAGAAGGGATTACTTAAAAAAAATAACCCTCTCTTCAAGATTTTCAAATCTTCCAATGCAGTTGGGAAAATGAGAGAAAAGCAACTGCATCACATACAGTCTCAGGGGCCAAGGTTCTGCCATCTGAAAGACACACAATCTAGAATAGGCAATCCCCTGGAGAAGGAGAAGAGAGCTTCCAGTGGAATGCTAAACACCTGGACTTGGAAATAGGATCTATCAATTGCTTGTATATTTCATTGGCTTCAATTTCTCAGTTTTATCTAATTGCAAAAGAGCTAAGAAGTACTGTATTCCTAGTACTGCGGAAGGAAGGAGAACCAGCCCTATAATCTATACTATCAAATACTACAAGCTGTATCCTTGAAAATTCTTCAGTGCTTGAGCAATTGAAGTCCCTGCCACTCTATGTTATCACCCTAAAATTAATTCTAGATTGACTCTTTTCTTTCATCTACTCAACAATTATTTAAGAAGCAGGATCTCACAATGTTGCCCAGGTAGCTGGGACTACAGGTGCACACCACAGCACCTGGCTAACAGATGTTTTTTGAGTGCTTCCTTTTACGTGCCACACAATGTGCAAGGTGCCAAAGATAACAGCAGATACTCCCCCATGGGGGTTTCACATTCCATGGTTTCAGTAACTATCCATCAACTGCATCTGACAATATTAAATGGGAAATTCCAGAAGTAAGCAATTGATAAATTTTAAATAGTACACTTCTCTGAGTAGTGTGATGGAATCTCACCCATCCATACCATCCTGTCTGGCACGTGATCACCCCTCTGTCCAGCTTATCCACACTGCAAATATCCTCACCCAAAAGTCACTTAAAGCCAATGTGGTTATCAGATCAGCTACCAAAGCACAAGTTTAGCGATGCTAACATTTTTTATTACTGTGTGCAGTCAGGATTTTTCTATTTTATCATTGGTTATTGTTGTTAATCTTGTCTTGTGCTTAATTTATAAATTAAACTCTATGACACATATATGGATAAGAACAAAGTATATGTAAAAGTTGGTTAATATCTGCTTCAGGAATCCACTGGGGGTCTCGGGTCGTATCCCCCACAGATAAGGGGGAACTGATGTTCTGATTCTAGTGGCTGTGATGTATCTCTGGCAGAATAATCCACATCAGGGTGGGAGAGGCATGCTGCTGCAATCTGTGGTGCCAATGCTATCCCCCAGAGTCAAGGGTGTGCAAAACATGCCTCCCACCCCACGGAGATGTACAGAGGAGTCAGAACAGTCTCACCTCTCCCAGTGTTGCTATCATGCTACCAAGTTAAGCTTCTCTGAGTGTCATTGCTGCTCTCCCAGAATCTGGTAGATCCACTGTAGGCATGTGTAACCATATAACTTCATGATGTCCTTTCTTCAAGAAATAGCAACATAAAAGTGTTCATTGGATCACCCCAGAATGATGAATTGAAAACAAATATTGTCCTTCTTTGGACCTCAGGGAGATATAATCAAATTTTTTTTGCAGCAATTAGAAGCAAAATTCTCAATGTGCTCATAACAATAAGGGTAGATTTGAATTTTTTTTAAATGTAACATTTAGGGTAATGATGAATGGTGTGAATATACTTTGTATACAACCAGAGATATGAAAAATTGTGCTCCATATGTGCAATATGAATTGTAATGCATTCTACTGTCATATATAACAAATTGGAATAAAAAATAAATTAATTTTAAAAATGTAACATTTCGTAGTAAAAATGTAAGCTAAAATAAAGTGTAGGAACAATACATATAAGATAAAAACACATATTTGCTCAAAAATAGAAACCACTGGGGAAGCATACATGTCCAACACACAAGAATGGCTGCTGATGAGAAGAAAAGGGAAAAGGAGGTGGTACCAGAATGAAAAGAGGGAAAATAATAGAAGAGGAGAGTGTCCTTACATATACCATGGTATTAATGTGTCATCAACTGAAGAATATTACTAACTTGCCAAATATAAAATTTTACTTTCTAATGTCTTTTCTGCTTTTGTGGAGACACTCAAAATAACATTTGTCAAATGGATGAATGAAAAGGCACCAATCTAAAAATAGTCTTTAGAGCAATAAGACAGGCTGACAAGGCTTCCTTCTGTACTATCTGCAGCCTCAGGATCTTCAGGGAATTGGCTGCAGGACCCCCACAGATACTAAAATCAATGGATGCTCAAGTCCCTTATGTAAAATGATTTCGTATTTGCATTCAACCTGTGCAGATCCTCCTATACAATTTAAATCATCTCTATATTACTTATAATACCTCATACAATGTAAATGCTATGTAAGCAATTATTATAGTGTATTATTTAGGGGATAATGAAAGGAAAAAAGTCTATATGTTCAGTATAGACACTATTGTTTTTCTAAATAGTTTTGTCCTGAAAATATTCTTGGCTGATTCTACAAATGTAAAACCTGCAAATGTAAAGAGCAAATGTACTAGGTTTTAGACTCAGAGCTAAGTCTGAGTCGTCCATGATTACATATCATAATATTTGCTTAGGAAATGATAAGCACAAAAATTTGTAACACTGTTTTAGCAAAGATATGAAGGGGCATTTTCAAATGTAAAAAGTACATTTAGAAATGTAAAATGTACATCTTCTGAAAAGAAATACTTATTGAGAGCCAAAAAATAACACCCTATAACTCAAGACTTCCACTTTTAATAATTTATTACAGAAAATTAATTTGTGTACAATCAGATTTATTGTGTTCATTGGATTAAATGATGTTTCAGATAATATTACCTAAAATAGGAAATTTCAAATAACATAAATATTTCAAATAGCATAAATGGGAATTTACTAAATAAATGTTGTCACACATATGAGGATCAATTTAATTAAATGAAATTATATAAGAAAATGCTTATCATATGTTGTTAAGCAAATGTAGCATTTTAAAATGTGCCACATAATCCTAATTTTGAAGAAAGGAAGGATATATGCTAAAATATTAATGGTAATTATCTCTGAACTAATGTACTAATTCAGTTAAAACTTATAATTTCTGATTTATAGTTGACACATGTATTTTAACTTGAAAAGTACTAAAACAAAAATATCAGTGAATAACCCAATATTATATTTTATCTGTTATCCTATATTATGTCTCAAAGGCATGAAAAGAAGAGTATTTCTGAGATGGATTTTAAAATAAGTGCTTCCGTATTCACAGAATTCTCAATTCTTTTTTATGTGTACATTTCAACCATCATTCAGTCACATTTACCATGTCACCTTGAGCCACACTTTACTGTGTCCTCCTCAAGCCATGTTAATAATTAAAGAGAAAGTCATTTCGAGATAAGAATGTGGATAAACAAATATTCCCTATAATTTTCTAAACCTTAGCTGAAAATTCATTAAATATCTTATTAAGGTTCTGTTTGTTATCAAAATCAAGGGAATCCATTCTGTCATCCATGTGGGAGTTGCAGAGTTCAGTCAAGTCAGGATAAAAGAGAAATGACAGGACATGAGAACCCATTTCAAGCAAAGAGTTATATTAAAACCCAGGTCAGCTTTTACTTTAATAATAAAAAATAAATGCTATTTATTTACTTTTTTACTCTGAAGTTTAAAACTCTAGAGGGCTGAAGAGATAAGCAAGAGCATGAAAAGGTCAAAATCTAAGCACTGATATGTTTTCTATGGGTAATAGCTGGTTCTATTATCTTATCATTTTAAAAAAATGG